AAAAGAGCAGTATTCACTACGGGGTCCTTCTTTAAAATAGCAGCTTAACGCTGCTGTGTTTCGTATGGTGAGTGTAGAGAACCGGAGATCCTTTTTACTGGAAATGAGGCATTCCATCTTAGTCGTCACTGGTGGCAACGCATCTGCATTTTCATTTGTAATAGAGGACAGATGTAGATATCTATGGGTCGAATGTATGGGTCTGAAGCCGAACTGCAAGTCTGGAAGAAGTTTGTACGAACAAATTTCTTCCAGACTTGCAAAACGTATTTAGAAAGGCGATTCAATATGATATATAAAATGCCATTTTATCTACATTATCATTTTTTTATAGGATAGGGTGACAAGTGAGCACACAGTCCACTTGATGGTAAGTGGTTGCTGTGGCCCATAGACATCTACATTTATCCTCGGAGATACGACGAAGGAGTTCTTTTTAGCGGTAAACGTGAAAACTTGTGTTTTCTGGGAACTAAACTGGACTAGATTTAGTCGCCCGCATTCCGATACTTAGCTTAACAAAATCTCGACTTCAGGTACAAGTTTTTCCCGGTACTCGGCGACATATTCCCGAGAAATATTGATACGGCCAGTGTATAAAGGATCACCAGTGCTGTCATCCACATAGCAATGAATTTTACCGGTTTGCAACATGTCATTGATATAGAGAAGAAATAGCATTGGCGATAGCACGCAGCCTTGTGGAATACCAACGTTAATGGGCATGTAATCGGAGCATGCACCGTCTACTACGACCTTGATGCTCCAATCTGCAAGAAAACTGGTGATCCAATTGCACATTTTCTCAGGAAGCCCATAGGAAGGAAGTTTCGTGAGATGCTATGTCTAAACTAACGGCTAACGCCTCCCCCTTGGACTTTACTGCCTCCGCTCATTAATAATTTAGGTAACCCAGAAGATCACCAGCCGAGCAACCGCGACGGAAACCGTACTGACGGTCACTAATCAGCTGGTGAGGACACGGTACCGCGGACTCAGTTATTTTAAGTAAAAAGGAAGTGATGCACATGATCATAAACAGATCTACCCGCATGATCGGCGTGGGCGTTAAAATCATCAAGCATCACGATCTCTGCGGATGAGACCTGTTGTAGCACGGAGTCTCCAGCCATTTGGACGTGGTCGATGAGTCGTTCTGTTTCGGTATTGCCGCTATGGGACTTATAGAGGCACCCGTAGACGAGGGGAAGGTCATCGCTGTCTACGCGCAGCCATAAGATGGACATGTCCGTACGTTCAAGGCTGCCGTGGCGTCGAAAACAGATGTCCTCTCTGACGTACACCCTAACTGCAGCCCGGGGCACAAAGGAGTGTTCAAATTTGTACCCCGGGTAAGAGAGATACGAAGTATCAGCCGGAGAAGACACCTGCGTCTCGGTTAGAAAAGAGCAAGGCCGGGTCCGCAGTTTCCAGATAGTAGTAGCCGGCGTTAAATTGTGAATGAAGACCCCTGATGTTGCAGATATCCACAGATAGAGTGGCAGGGGGCGCGTTTGACTTATTTCTCCGTTTGCCCCGAGCAGGTTTAGTCTCGAGTGGAATCCCCCCCCCTCCCCCTAGAATACGTGGGATAGCCTGAGTACCCACGTTCAGGAAGAGTAGGGTAGCTTGGGCGTGGATGCTTAGCGAGGGATTCTCCGTCACCGCGGGTACTGACACCCTCCTGGGTAGTGTTTTATTTAAGTCCGTTACCATGTAAAGGAAGCGGGGGGGGGGGGGGATTCGTCCTCCAGCCACCTGTACTGACCAGACGAAATGCAGAAGCAGAGATTCTACTTCACGCAGGTTTTCCGTGAGGCCGTGGTACCACCCCGGTTCAAGCCGGCCCATACGTGCAACAGCAACGACATTCGCGTGGCTCTGTTAAGAACCACTGTTAAGAATTTGATGCCTTGAGATGCCCATTCCTGTTCTTTATCTATATTAATGACTTACCTTATCTTCTAGGGGACAATCACGATATAATAATATTTGCTGATGATACTTCTTTAATTTTCAAACTCAACCGGTAGTCAATTAATTTAGACGGTGTAAATAATGCTCTATCGAAATTGGTACACTGGTTTAACGCCAACAATTTGCTCTTAAACGGCGATAAGAAAAAATGTATTAAATTTACCATACCCAACTAAGCACTCGAATATCAATGTAATTTAAATGAGGATGAGTTGACTCTTGTGTGTACCACTGTTTTTTTTTTGGTATTACTATTGACGCGAAGCTTCAATAGGGCCCACAAATATCTAAATTAGCAAGTAGACTTAGTTCTGCAGCATATGCTGTAATAAATATTGGAAGTCTCACTGTGTTGATACGAAGGGTAAGTGTTATTTTAGTTACTTTCGTAGTGTAATGTCTTATGGAATTTTGCTATGTATTAATGCGACTGATATTGAATCCATATTTGTTTTGCAAAGGAGAGCCGTATGAGCAATTTATAACTTGAATTGAAAAGAGGTCCTCAGAGAAAAATTTTAAGAAATAAACTTATTAACTTTGGCATCGCAATATATTTATGAAAATGTAACATAAGAATAAGAATGTTCATACTTTAAACACTAGGAAAAAGAACATAAACTTGTAATACCTGTTACTAGACTCCACAGTATTAGTAATTCATTTATGGGGCAAGGTCCCAAAAAATCCCAGAAAATGTAATTAAAGTTGTAAGAAAAGGGGCTATAATAATATAAAAAAATACATAAATTAAAATAATCCCTGGGAATGAGATGATCGCTACTAGCTGGTTCTATTAAAATTCATTTAAAAATTTTACAAACAAAATTGTTGTAAAGTGAAATATGTTTAAAAAAAGCCTCACTGGTATAAAAAAATTACTTTCATTAAGTATTATGTAATAATCAATTTGAATAAAGAATCATTATATTCTATTAAATGCTGTCCAAAGAGATCTTGTCTCTTCAAATCTTTCCTCGGTTTTAAAGCCTTGTGAAATATTTAGAGACGACGGCAGGAGATCCGATGGAGAGAGGAGAAGATCTGGCAGATTCTATGTGCCTCGATACTTTGGCTGTCTTTTATCTCAGGGGTACTTTGTTGGGAGCCGGGCGGCCTCAAAGGCAGCTGAATTAAGTGACACAAATTTGAGTCTCTGAGAGATGACTACATTTTTGGGCGATTTGCTGTAGAGACTATCGGTCGTAGATCCCACACATGCGGTAAAGACGCTGCTGGTGACAATAGGGCTAGTTTTTTTCTCACTCAAATGCTAAGTATAGCCATTCGGCAAGGAAACACAGCTAGCGTTCTTGGCAATGTACCGCAGTTAGTAGCAGTGTATAATAATTTGTTTTTAGTATTAGTTTTATGAATGTGACCTATAACTCTTGATTGGCTGTACTGATGATGACGATGATGAATACAAAGCCAACTAATAATTATAATAATAATGCAAGCTTGACAAAAGTGCTCAACAGTCTTTTGTCGGGTGTGAATAAGACACACGCATATAACGGTTGGATCATGCCTGTCCTCATATATGCCTTCGGCATACTCAGGAGGTCTCAGACCGAACTGAATGCTCTGGATAAAAAAGTCCGTACTGTTATGACGTCTCACAGGATGCATCACCCGAGATCGTCAGTAATGAGGCTGTACTTGCCGCGGAAACATGATGGGCGCAGCTTTTTGAGCGCTCACACCATGCATAATCGTGAAGTGTGCAGCCTCCGTAATTACTTTCTGGTGAGATCGGGTGATCCATTCAATAGGGACGTCATTTCGTGTGATAAAGCGCTTACTCCTCTATCCTTAGCCAACGAGCAATGGCAAGACCCAGTAGTACAGTGCACTTCCGACCGGGAGACCGTATCTTATCTTATCCGACCGTACTCTTTGGGGAAACCGAGGGTTTTGTCTGTGCGATACAGGATAAGGTTATTAAGACCACCAATTATCGGAGATACATCGTAAAGGATGGCGCCGTCGACATCTGTCGAGCTTGTCGCCATGTGAGTGAGCCACTTAGGCATGTCATCTCCGGTTATTCGGCGCTTTCTAACTCTGAGTATTTGCACAGACACAATCTATTAGCCAGGATTCTACACCAGGAGCTCGCTCTGAAATACGGTCTCGTGGATCGGAAACTGCCGTATTATAAGTACTTGCCGGAAGCCGTGCTCGAAAATGACCGCGCCAGGCTTTACTGGGACCGGGCCATCATCACAGACAGGACTATTCTTGCGAATAAGTCTGATATTGTGCTAATGGACCGGGCACAGTCAAGGATATTTTTGGTCGACATTACCATTCCTTATGACGAGAACCTCGTGAAAGCCGAAACAGATAAGCTGACAAAATATCTGAACCTGGCTCACGAGGTGACCGACATGTGTGGTGGTCTGCTGACCGAAATTATTCCTGTGGTCGTTTCTGCGAACGAGTTAATCCCAGTCAGCCTCTCGGGTCATCTGAGGCGACAAGGACTCCGTGACGAACCGTTTCAGGCTCAAATGCAGAAGGCGGTGCTCCTCAATACCGCCCGCATCGTCCGCCAGTTTCTTTCCCTTCCCCCCTAACCCTCGGCCGTCTGGTCTCCCCTGCCGAGGGCTCCCATGTGGTTGGGTTTTTATATATTTATGTATTTTTCATGTATTTACCCAAGTAGATGTATTCACAGACATATTCTATATTGTTGCCTTTTATCGCTATCGGGCGTTCACGACTGTTGGTTATTATCTTAGTTTTACCTGCATTCATTTCCAGGCCGATTTTGGAGCTTTCGCAGTCAAGTGATGTCATCATTTCCTCTAGGTCTTCGGCGGTTTCGGCTATTACAACAATGTCATTAGCGAACCTCAGATGGTTTAAATAGTATCCGTTAATGTACACTCCTCTATTTTTCCAGTCTAGCTTTTGGAAAATATTTTCAAGTACTGCTATAAACAGTTTTGGGGATAGAGGATTTCCTTGCCTGAGGCCTCCTTCTATGTTTATTTCGTCTCCTCTATTTTCTAATTTTATTCTGCTCGTGCTTTTTTATAAATATATTTCAAGATATTGATGTATTTCGAATTAATGTTTAATTGTTGTAATGCGTTCCAGATTGAATAGTGACTGATACAGTCAAAAGCTTTGTTGTAGTCAATGAAGGCCACATACAGAGGTATATTGTATTCTCTGTACTTTTCTATAACCTGTTCTAATGTCTGTATGTGGTCCATTGTATTATATCCCGATCTGAATCCCGCTTGTTCCTTTGGTTGCTGTTTGTCTATGTCGTCGGATATTCTCTTTAGTATTACGAATGAGAATAATTTGTATATACTTGCCATCAGACTTATGGGTCTATAATTCCCTATGTCCAAGGGGTTTCCTTTTTTGAAGAGCAAAATTATGTCTGATGTACACCATTGTGTTGGTACTTTTTCTTCGTCTAATATCATATTAAATAGTTGCGTTAAATGGCGGGTTGGGATGGGTGCTCCTATTTTAAGGGCTTCGTTGCATATTCCATCTGGTCCGGGACTCTTCTCAGCCTTCAGCTTTTTGACATATTCATAAACTTCGGAGTCTTCAATTGGTCTGATACAGTCACTCGTATTTATGTGAGTTGCTTGTGTTTCCATTTCAGTGTTATTTTGTTTCTTGTATAAGTTTTTGTAAAAGCTTGTTGCATGACTTATTACATCTCTTCTAGATTTTGTTTCTTGTGAATTGTGCTCATGTTTCTGAATCCATGATTTAAATGTAGTTAATTCTTTATAGGCTTTTTTGGCACTTCTAAAATTCTCGATGTTTCTTGAAATAATCTCATATCTGTGATTGTTGTGGCCTTACGGATTGATCTATTAGCCTCTTTGTATATTCTGATAAGTTTTTCTTTCAATTCTTTGGTTTTATTCTTTGTGTGTAGTAGTTCCGTGTTCCTTTTTATAAATTGGACTGTCTTCAGAGAAAATATTATGTTGATGAGGCTTTGTAGAGCTTTATACCTCTTTCCAGGATATTTTAATATGTTTGGGTGTCAATGCACTCTGTTTCTACATATTTTGTGTGTGCACGTGGATTTTCGATATAATTTTTGATTTCAGCTTCTGTCTTGGGGATTTTAGGTTAAGTTGTGTAGGTTTTTCTGCTCTTTATTGGACGACTTAAACGTAGTGTTGCTCTCAATAATCTGTGATCGGAAGAGAAATTGAATTTGCTTAGTACTTCAGTATTTGTTACAAGCTTATGATGGTTTATTATTATAAAATCTATTTCATTTTTAGTTTTTTGGTGTGGCGATAACCATGTCCATCTTCGGTTCTCCTCCTTTTTAAAAAATGAGTTCATTATTGACAGTTTGTGTTGATAAGCGTAGCTTAAGAGGCGTTCACCTCTTTCATTGCGCACTCCGTAACCATATTTTCCCATTATTGAGTAATAGTTTGCTTGTGAACAACCAATTTTAGCATTGAAATCTGCAATGACTATAACCTTTCCTTAGGTCTTGGTGTGAGCATATTCAATGTCATTGTAGAATTCTTCAATTTCTTCTTCCGTTGATTTCTCAGTCGGTGAATATGTTTGAATTATTGATAAGGAGAAGCATTCAAATTTTACTTGTAACAGTGCTACTCTTTCTGAAATTCCTATAAAGATGGTAATGTTGTTTTTATATTTTTTCTTGATCAGAAATCCTACTCCATGTAGTCTTTTGGTTTCACCGATGTAGCAAAAAATAAGGTCATTGTATTCTTCGATTCTACATCCCATCTTTCGGATTTCTGCAAGGCCTAGAATATCCCAGTTGATGTTTTTTAGAGCATTAGTTAATTCAAGGAATCGTTCTATAATCTCTAATGCAAGTGATCTTACATTATAGGTGCAAATTTTGAGGGTTTGTTTTATATTTTTATCTGTTTCTGTATTTGGTGGAGGGTCGCAGTCTAATTCCCCACGAGGACAAGTCGGGTTAGGGAATATTTTTTTTTCTGTTATCTTTAAATTCTTGTTTATTTAGTGTTTTGTTCCGGTGACTGATGGCAATGTCCTATGCGTTCTGATCAGTTGGCGAGTTGGTCGACGGCAAAGAGTTGCTTCTATACCTCGTTAAATCAAAAGCATTTAGACGGTGTGTTTTAGTTGACACTTATTGTTTACGGGGGTGTTCTTTTACATTGGACGACGTTGACGGTTCTCTTTTGCGTTTCTCAATTCCTGGTTTCCTCTCTTTGATAACTAACTTGTCATAATTTATGTATGCATAATTTCCTTTCTTCCTTTTTTCTTCCAATTTAGGCTGTAGTTTCTTTCTCATGTCGAGGATTTATTTCGGGTAGTCTTCAGACACATATACATTTTTCAGTTTCTTTTTATTTGCTATTACTGAGTTTTTCTTCCAGAAGTTTACAAATGCCAGGAGGATTGGTCTATCTTTTGCATTTTCTATGTTGTTTTTACCAATTCTGTATATCGTATTAATGTCTCTATCTTCTATGGTAATATTTAGATCGTCTTTAACTTTCTTTATAATGATTGCGATGAGATTTTCGGTCGATTTTTCAGTGTCTTTAATTCCATATAAAATTAGGTTATTTGATCTTAAATGTTTTTCTAAATTTTTTATCTTTTCCTTTAATTTATCGTTTTCTGACCTTAATTCCTGCATTTCAACTTTGAAAAGAACTAACTCTTCATCGATTCGTATCATAATGTCATCGGTTTGTTTTGACATTTCTATTTTTATTTGGTCGAAAAGAGATCGAATGTTTTCCATTTTCGCTACTGTCCCTTGCATGCAGTGGAACGTAATATTAAGCCTTGGAGGAATTCTCCTAAGTTGTGAACGTAGCTTATTTAGTCTGTGGTGGATTGAAACGCAATGTTCCGTTATAGACTTAAAAGACACGCATCCAAGCCAAAAGTAATCTTTCTCTGATGATGGTGGCACTGCTATATGTCAAAATTAATTATTGAGTTAGAATACGTAAGAATACTACAATGTTAAATTATTAGCACTTATTTTGTTCTGGGCAAAACACACGATTTTTATACTTTATTTGCACCTAATTTTTCGATACACTTGCACAGTTTATAGATTTATACAGTTACTAAACAGTTATGAATTTATATTTACGGAGCACACTTTATGACGTTCGTACTATTAAACACCGGAACCGGAAGAAACTAATAATTAATACTTGTAATTAACTCGTTTTACTAAGCGAATTAAATATAGTTTCCAAAAATAGTTCTTGAATAAAATTTCCTCTATTTTACTTTCACTTTTGTATACCGTTAATATACCTATAGATATCCTTAGGACAAAAATCGAATGCATCGTTACCACCCAAAAGGTCCATGCGAAATACACACTTGTTTCTGTCCCGTTCGAGTCGGCCTAATCGTACTTCAGTTGCAACGTGGCTCTAGCTCGTATAATTATAATTTAAGAATGGCGAACACTTTACTTTTTCTTGTATTTAGATAATTTATTATGTTTATTGTCATATGTGTAAATAATAAAAATCACATATACACATATGTAAAAATTACGTGTCACGTTGTTTGTCCACGATGAATTCCTAAATTACTAAACTGATTTCAGTGAAATTTTGCACACTGTGTACAGTTTGGTCTAACTTGAGAGATAGGATGGTTTTTGTTCGGATAAGTTACCCGCAATATTTCTTATTACGAATTCGAAGATTTCTTATAGGACAAAAGGTCGGGGAAGAAGGCAGAATAATGTCTCCCTGGCCAGCTAGTTTAATATAAAATAGTTATTTTAATGAAAAAATAAATATTCACTTTGAAAAGAACTGACTTTTATTGAGCTAAGGGTGTTATTTGCATATTGTTAAGACAAATAACCATTTCAAATTTGTGTCCGTCCGTCTGTATGTTTGTCTGTTCGGGCAAGTATTTGCAATGGTTGAACCAATTGTGATAAAACTTTACGAAAAGAAAGACTAATGCCAGAAGTGATCAAGGCAATATTTTATCCAAAAACTTAAGATATCGAAAAATTGTTTAAATAAATGTTTTTTATATGTGAAATAAATGAACTTTGATGATTACATTAAATCTAAATAATGCTACATTAATAGATCCTACAAAGGTTAAGATGGGCCGGGTCGCTGGTAAAGAGATTATTGTTACATAATCTCTTAATATTCGGCTATAATACCATTAATTCTAATACTTTTCACGGAACATAAGTAAATCCTATTTTAAATTTGAATTCTATTGAATAAATGATTATATGAAGGGATTTATGACTATATGAAGCTTACGACTGCTATATCAACGAGGCAGTGAAATACATACATATATACATAAACTATACCTAATTACATACTAACATATACTACATAATATTGTAGGGAAGTAAAACCGCTATCGTTATCGCTGTCGCTATCGCTTTTACGACATTTTAAAGTTATAAATATTATCATATTATATGCTACACAACATTAATTTAATCTTTCAGTGGATTTCTAAAATAATTTTTGACATTTATTCATTCATTTATTTACACAGTTCATGTTCACCTTTTAGATTTTCTGCGCATAGTTCGAAAATTATATTTTGGTTGCTACAACCCGACATTGAATATCATCATTTCAAGAAGATACTCTCTACGATATCTTTCGCGTGGAGTTCAAATTGCTAACATACCGTTACATGAATAACTAGATTAACGTAATTATTTATCACTAGCTCATCAAAGAAGTGACCAGATGAATACTTGCCGCTTTATCAGTCTCTGGAACTTATTAACAGTGCTAACTTAACGGGTATTGTAACGTTCTAGATTGAAATGGTAAATTATTTGAAATAATCGTGATGTAGAGAATTGAACCACACTCTTCTTTTGCTGCTCCAATAGTGACCTTTATCATATTGCTCCCGGGCACTGTGTTACGTAACCTGATACCACTGTACCATCTTGGTGCATCAAGGTTACGCGTCAACAGAACTGGAACTCCAACTTTCCCCCCTCAACTAATGCGAAGGCACGGCCGTTTATACAAAGGAGTTCAGAAGTTCGAATGGATAGGCAGTACTGCCGCCACTGACAGTAAAACAGTATCTTTTTTTTTATAGGAAAGGGTGACAAACGAGCACGCAGTCCACCTGATGGTAAGTGGTTGCTGTGACCCATAGACATCTACATCTATCCTCAATAAAGAATCAAAATGCAGATGCGTTGTCACCCGTGAGGACTAAGATGGAATGCCTCTTTTCCAGTAAAAAGGGTCTCCGGTTCTCTACACTCGCCATACAAAACACAGCAGTGTTAAGCTGCTATTTTACGCTGGTATTCTGAGAAAGCGTGGTCCTTCCACAGTCGAGCCGACCCATTCGTGCTACAACTATACTACTAATATAATTGCAGTATGGCTCTACCACGTATAAAAGCGAAGCTCTATCTAGCGATGGGTATGTAATATTT